TGTGCTGTTCCAGTCGTTTTTGGATAATCTTCAGTAAAATCTTGCTTGCATGTAAAATCAGTGAGATTGTTCTATAGTTTCTACACTCTGTTGGGTCACCTTTCTTTGGGATAGGAACAAATACAGATCTCTTCCAGTCAGTTGGCTAAGTGGTTGTTCTCCAGATTTCTTGGCCCAACTTGGTTAGCACATCCAGGGCAGCATCTGTTAGCTGAAATATGTCATCTGTGACTGGAGCGGTGGAAATAAGTGCGTTTGAGATAGTTAGTTTGGCACAGGATAGAACAGCATTTAGAGTTCTTATAAATAGGGTCGCTATGAGTCGCAAGCGACTCGATGACACATAACAACAACAACAACAACGCATCCTTGATTTTAGCAACTCAAGGTTTCAATTTGTTCTTCAGTTCCTTGAGCTTCAGAAATGCTGAGGGAGTTCAGTCCTTTTGATTTTCTGACTCCATCTTATTAGACTTGTTTTTCTAGTTTCTTCTCAGAAGGCAAACAGACTCTTCCCCTTATTATTTTTAGTTATGTTTGCAGAACTAGACATATAAATAGAGTAGGTGATGGTTTTCCTCTTAGACTAAGGAAGTTCTGGTGGACTATTGGTAAGGAGCTGTGCTGCATTCCCAAAGGTATGCAGTTAAAATGCACCACCTGCTCTGCAGGAGAAAGTTGGGCAATTTCCTCCTGTTCAATTGAACTGCCTCTAAAAACCCGCTGGAGGGTCAGCTATGAGTCGGTTCTGAGACGACAGCACACAACAATAAGCATTGTGTATTGTTAGGATTTTCTGTCAGTCTATGCACTAGAATAACAACAACAATATCTTTTCCAAATGCAATATGTTTCTGATCTCCTGACTAACTGGTACCAAGTGTAGTGACTGTGGATCCAAGCAAGATGAAGTCTTTGACAGTCTCAATCTTTTCTCCATCTATCATAATATTGCCTATTGTTCTAGTGGTGAGTATTTTTACTTTCTTGACATTGAGATGCAATCTGTATTGAAGGCTGCAGTGTTTAACCTTCTTTAACAAGTGTTTCAAGTACTCCTCACTTCCAGCAAGCAAGGCTGTGTCATCCACATAATGATGGTTATTGATGAGTCTTCCTCCAATCCTTAT